TCTCCTCTCCTCTCCTCTCCTCTCCTCGCCTCTCCTCTCCTCTCCTCTCCTCTCGTCCTTTTGTGTAGAATCACAGAAGCACACAACATCCCAAGTGGAAGAGACCTATAAGGATCATTGAGTCCAATACCTCCTCAGCAGCAGCAGGGGCTGGGTTTTGGAGCACTCCTGCTCACTGAAGGATGTATGCAGGGTCAGCTGGGAAGATGCTAAGAGAAATCACATAGTTTTTTGCACTTTTTTTTCCTGACAACTCAAATACTCCATAAAACACAACACCACTTCCCACTCCCATCTATCTAGAAGCATCCCTTAATGTAGTGGCATAAACTTGATGCTGACATTCTCAGCTTCCCCTTTTTCACAGAATCACAGAATCACAGAATGGCCAGGGTTGGAAGGGACCTCAAGGATCATGAATCTCCAACCCTCTGCCACATGCAGAGCCACCAACCTCCACGTTTAATACTGGACCAGGCTGCCCAGGGCCCCATCCAACCTGGCCTTGAACACCTCTTGGGACGGGGCATCCACGACCTCTCTGGGCAGCTGTTCCAGCACCTCACCACTCCCCCTGAAGTTCTTTTATTTCTTAAAGGCTTTATAACAGGCTGACTAATTAATGTGCATTTTGCAAGGCCTAAGAATCCATGAGCATCCTCAGGAGTCTGAAGAGAAAGGTCATCCTGTCTATATCCAAGGCAGATCACCACTAGACAGGTAAGAAAATGCAAGAATCCCTTGGCATTCTGAATACTTTATCTGCCTTCTTATATGCTCACAAATGGCTATTGTAAACCACGTTTTCTCTTCACCAAAAATACAAAACCAACAGAGATGCATGTTTCTCTGCTGATGCTGGTGATGCTGCAGGTCTAAGGAGGCTTTCTGGTTAGTGAGGGAGCTGCCCATATATTTTTGTGTACAGGGGAGCTGCTTGCAAGGAAGGCTCACTAATTAGAGGGAAAATATTTGATCTCCATAGGCTTTTGGTGAAATATCTGAGAAAGGCAGCAGATGTTGCTGAAATTATTTTTCATCTGTTTTCCCCTGTTTTCTTACCATGTTTCATCTGCTTTACCCTGTTTTCTTATGTGGTGCATCAAATTAAAATTCAATAAACTGCTCATGGCTGTTTACTGGGGAGTGCAAAAAACTTGCTCTAGATTAAAGCTGGTGCCTCATCCAGTGCAGAGTATGTGCACTCACCCCAGCATCCCTCTGCCTTACTTCTGAAAGCCACAGATTACCCAGAGCCTTCAGCAAGGAGTTGTCAGACTACCCAAAATGTGTTGTAGCGCAGCCAGCCCGTATTTCTCCATGGGGTCTGATGTCATCCTGGCAAGTACGGCATCTAGATGATATGGATTTGTAAGGATCTGCCTTGAATTACTCCTTTTCCCAGTAGTTCAGCTCTCTGATAGCCAGAAAGCTTCTAATCAGGCTCCTCAATCCAAAAAGAAAACCAGCAGAGATGTAGGACAGTCTTGATGACCATCCACAACATCTTGTGGAGGAACCTGACTTCTTCTGAGTGGCTTCAGGCGAGGGAATTTTGAAGACAAGAACCTGAATCCAGGTGTGATCTCTTCAGTTCTAAGAGGCTGGAGAGACTGAAAGCTGCATTTTGGAAGTTTTAGCCCTTGGACGTGGTGTGTCCTACATCACAGGCAGCACCATTCAGAGAGCAACCACAGACCTGTCTCTCTGGAGAACCATTCTAAGGGTCCACAGAGAATCACTTACACAGACTGGACATCAAACGCTGTCGCAAATCCAAAACCACTTGGTTTTGGTTGTAGAGTCAAAGCAAGCATCTTTATGAGTTTGCTTGTCTTATTTCGACCCAAAATCATCTACAGGACACTGCATTCAGGCCCACTGGACAGGTCAGTTAATTATGTTGAGTGGGTCAATAGATGGATCAATTTATCAAATGATAAATAGAGATTCTGCTTTCATCAGGGTAGTGAATATTAATTGATTTGACAGGCAGAAGCTTGGTAAAACAAGTAGAAGTTGCATCAGGGCATCACTGTATTAATTAGCCATGTTGAAGCTGCTTTTAGCTGCTTCCGAAGTTTAATCAATATGCTACATTTGAGTCCCAAAAGGCTTATGGAAACAGCCTTTGAAATCCTCTAAATTGCTGCCTCTGTGAGGTTTTAGACTCTTTACTTATTCTTGTTCTGCTGTTTTTCTTCCTTATTTTTTTCTCCCTCCTGCAATCAATAGTGACCCACAAGAATTGGTAGGGGTGGGTTTTCTTATTTGTATCACAAATTTGCATTGGCTAGGAACAGAAAGGAAATGAGAAAGATCTTCTGTTTTAGTACAATAATAGTAATAATCCTGGACATTAATGAGCTGCCCTCTGTCTTCCAGTTTCTATATGCAGTGAATTACCTCTATAGACTTAATCTGATCTGAATGAGCAAGGCACCAGTTAAATCATGTTTTCCTGAGCCCTCGCATACTGCTCAGACTTTGATTTAATACAAAGTAAGGTTTGAGCTTGCTGATATGTTTTAGTGAGCGGGAGGAAGGAGAAGGTGGAGCTGGAAATGAAGCCAGAGAATTAAACTATGCAGAGAAGGGGATGGAGGCCCTGAGACTGCTGGGTGCAAGGGTGATCGTCTAGGACTGCCCTGGTGGCATCCATGCCACTGGCCAGCTTTGTGTGTGTATGGGAACTGCTGAGTCCCAGCCTGATTGAGCACCTGGGGAAAGCACCTGGGAAAGCACCTGGGAGCACAGGTGAAGGCAATGCGTCTGTGTGACTGGAAGTGATGGAACCTCTCTTCGACCTCATTGAAGGGCTGACTGCTGCTGGGGAAGGATCTCTCTTTGGAGGTCCCTCCTTGGTGGAACTTTCCCCTGCAAACCTGGAATCTTCTGATATGGGTGAGCAATCTTCTGCCCTTCTTTTACCTTTCTTTTACCTTTCTGCTGTGCTGCTCCTTCCATCATAACACCTTTCCCATTGTGTTGATCTGTCCAGTTGCTAAACCAGCTGAGGTTTTTGGTATATCTGCATGACATGAAGGATCAGGAAAAACCACCATCAGGGCTGCTGGTCACCACCCCCATACGATCTGTAAGCTTGCAGGGATCTGAAATACATTTTCTAAATATGAGTTTCTGCCCTCATAATCATGGTGGCTTTTTGCTATTTAGACTTCTCATTCCTTTCTAAGACAAAATATCTTCAGATATGCCCATAGTGGGTTTCTAGCATGCTTCCCCTGTGCCTTCAGCAATTGTGTGTGTGTTGACTTCCTGAGGTCGCCACTGCAGATGCCACACCAGTGCAGTCAACACGGGAAGACCAACATTGCTTGAAACATTACTCAGGGCCCCAGCATAATTATAACAATTACAGAGTCAGGCCCTGAGCTGTGCTTTCTGACGCACGCATCTGCCACGTGGGTTTCATTGCATGTGCACATCCTGTCGTTAATAATGGAAGATACCCCAATCTCTCCAGGGGCAACAGTCTTTGCTACGGGCAAGGTACTAAATCACACTTGAAGTTTCTAGGCCAAAATGTTTTACTTTTTATTTTAGAGGAATAAAGTTCCAAACAAGTGTGGGGTAAATTTCCAGGCCTGATTAATCACAGAATCACAGAATTGTAGGAGTTGGAAGGGACCTCCAGAGATCATCGTGTCCAACCCCCCTGCCAAAGCAGGTTCCCTACAGCAGGTTAATCTGGCTCACCTGGTGATATGGAGAAAGGGGAGCAGCCTTGTGGGAGGTGGAGGCAGGACCATCCTGTAGAGATGGCATAGAAATCATTAGGTGGAATTATTGTTTTTTTTTTTAAAAAAAAAAAGTCTTGAAGAGCACTCATGCATGCCACCACCCCCCAAATGCAGAGTTAACTCTTTCCATATCTGTTCAACCTACCAGCAGCACTTTTTTTTTGAAGGTACCAGCAATTTCTCTGCTCACAGGCCCTGCCAACCTTCAGTCTTACAAGCGCCATGGGCTTTTGAGCCAGAAGAAGGCAAAAAGCCAATTTTAATTAGTGGTATTTTGCAAGCCTAGGTTGGCCAGTACCTGTTGAAGCAACCTTTGCTGCCTCATTTAATCCCTGCCACAGTTGCAGCAGATGGAAGCTCCTCCAGAAGGTGACTTGAGGAGACTCTGACATTCAGGCCTGTATGTCTTTCCCATTTAAGTGTCCCCTTGTCTTTCTCTTTCTTCTACACCTTTATCCAAAGGACCATGGATGTGACTGCAGTCTGCATGCTGTAGGGTGCGTCTCAGAGGGATCTTCATTCCTCCCACCTGTGATGGAGAGGTCCCAATTTTGAGCTATTCTACCCACCTCTTTCCGTCACACAGATGTCCTCAGATCTGGTGACACAGCAAAATCCTCTTTCCATGTGGGATGGCAGGTTGGGAAGCTGATCTGGATGCAACTTATGCATGCTGGGGGCTTCTCTGAAATTGTTGTGCTTGTGAATGTGGGTACGGAACAGGCTGTGTAGAGTCAGGGCTCCCTCCTGGGCTGTGAAGAATGGCAGCAACAAACATTAATAGCTTCTCCTGAATGAACGAGCGTGAATGCTCAGAAGCCCAATTAGTCTGTGACTTCTACAGAGGCTTCCCACAGAGGAGGACAAAAACGTGGAGCGGGGCTGAATGGGGTAGAGGACAAGAACAGAACAAAAATTAATGTTCTGCAGCCAAGGGAGCCCCTTATTTGAGTCCCTGTGAGGCCCAGGACCTCAGGGAACCTGCAGGACTTTTGTGAAGGAGTCTGAGTCAGCTTGGTGGAGGTCCTGGCAGAAAGCCGAGGTGCAGAAGGGGCACACCAGCAGGTTGCCATTGCTTTGGAAGGCAATGCAGAAGGCACTGTGGTGAAGTGCTGCGTGGGCTTCAAGGGATCAGTCCTTCTCATCTCACCTGGGCTTTGTTTGTGGGCTGCTGGAAAGACAGGCACAGCATCTGGGACACCATAGCATGTGTGGAAATAAAGGAGAAATTTGAGCAGGAGGCACTGCTCAAAGGAAAGCCACTGGGCTGCTGACCTTGTGCTCAGGCCATTTGTGTGGGGGCTCAAACCATGCTAATGGTTTCCAGCACCGCTGCCCCGAGCAATGGTGCTCAAACCTATCAATGTGATTTCTTCCAGAGACCCTTGAAGTGCTTGGTGGTGTGCTGAGGAAGGTTCTTGGATCCCAAAGCAAGAAGCAAAGCCGCTTGGTATGTGGGATATACTCCCTCTGTCATTCCAGTGATGTCACTCCCAGGACCCTGATGTGATAGAGACCCTCCTTGTCTGTAGGGTTAGCCTTTCCTCTTGCACTCATCCCCATTCTCGAGGGTAAAAGGCCCTTTGCTGAATAGGAAAAAAATACAAGCCTCGTGTCACTGATAGTTTTAAAATTATAATGGAAACCTTCCGTCAGTGGTGACACAATTACCTGCCCATTTTCCTGCTCCACCTCATTAAAAGGAAAATGTTACAATTAAGGCACGGGCGGGAGGAACAGATTAATGTTCTGTTTCTAATGCATTGATGAATTGGCACTTAGTCAAGGGGTTTAAAAATATTAAACCCTCACAAAAGCCATCCCAGAAGGGAATGCTGTCTGCTGAGGGGCACTTCTTAGTGTGGACTGTTGGCTATTCATCATTCATGTTAAAGGGATGCAGTGGTGTTTGCAGTGGGAGTGGGATTTGCTTAGATTTGTCTGCTGGTGTTCCTTGGGGTGGCCACGTGCTCCACGGAAGATCTTCTCTAGGTGTTTCCCTTCACAGAAAATCAAATTCTTTTTCGGTTTGTTTGGTGTATTGTAGATATAATTGGACATCAGCTGCTGTTATTCTTGCTTTTCAATCCCTTTTCTTTCCTTTTGGCATGTCTTTGTTAGGCATGGCTTTGTTCCACCGCATACAAAATTGCTTCATTTTTTTTTTAATCCTGTCTTCATACCAGATCCTTGCTACATGGAGGGAATACTGAGCCTGGCAGAGGCGTGAGCTGGGACATTGCCTTTCCCCAGCCCCAGCTTCCATTTGCCTTTGGGAACTCCCTGGCCCTCTATGGGAGCCACCCTGAGGACAGGATGCACTGCCTGCAGCTGTAAAGCTGCTCCAAAGGGGGTGTGAAAATCTGTAGCCAGATTCTACACCCAATTCCGACATTATCTAACTCAATTTCAGAGCCTTTTCGTGGCCTCAAGCTGAGACTTGGGGCCCGCCATGCCCACATTCGCTACACCGCCAGCAAGTCTCAGCCCTCCTATAATGAAAATGTCACTAACGATAAATATTTATAGGGATGCTTATCTTTATATTTACTACCTTGACCTTTATCTATTTGGATTTTATTTTAAATTTTATGCGGCTTGCCTTTGCCTCTTCCCAGCCGTGTGTTGCCGCGGAGCAAGAAGCTCTGCAACGGCTCCGAGATCGCTGCTGCATTATAAATACGTGCACAGTACATACAATTACAGAACTTTAATGTCTGGTATAATTACTGTCTGCAGTTTGCATTAATGCTCAGGGTGATATAGTGAAGCAAGGCGCTCAGACACTGCGAGATGCACGTCCCGAGGGGCAAAGGAAAATCATTGCTCGCGATCCTGCGATTAATTATTGTGCCTTGCGTGGAGAGGCTGAGATTCTTCCCAAGCACTTCTTGCACCCCCGGTTGATTGAAATGCCTACGCAGGAACGGCGCTGCTGCGCATAGCCTGCAGGCAGGGCTGTGCTTCATAAGCAAGCAAAGGTCCTCAGTTTTATTCTTGTAGTGTTGCGAGGGAAAATTGAGGAAAACAGCAGAAATGAAGAGGAGAACATGAGTCGATGCATCTTAAAAAGTGATGTGTGTTCACTTGCAGGAGGCTTCCCCCATGCATCGCCTGGCCCAGGACCCAGGAGGGTGTGCCAGGAGATGCTGGGAGCTCGCTCTGCTCCAGAGTTTATTATTGTTAAACTTAATCGCTTAACTGAATGAAATTATTGAATTATTGATGGAGTTCAGCAGATCCATGGGGGCAACAGGATCAGAGCATCAGGGATGCTCCAGGCTGAGCTGCACAGGGCACCAACCTGTCATAGCTCCATGGGATTTTTGAACTGGATGCCAGTGTCGCTGCCCACCACAAGAAATGGGCTGAAAACTAAAGGGCTTGGTCATTTGCAGCTTGTCCTTGCCACCAGCGTGGGTGTTAGAGCAGTGCAAGTGCATATACGTGTTGCTGATGTAGGGAAATCAGTCACCTCAAATCACCCTCACACACACACAAAAAAAGAAAAAAAACTCACTAGGTCAGCCCTTATTTTTTAGTCACAGTAGCATCAGATGTGAATCCTTATGGCTAAGTGTGCAATCACAGCAATTGAGTGGGTTCTGCACATCAGGGGCTGAGAGCTGATGGGAAGAAGGAAGGAGAGGAACCCTGGAAAATTCTGTGTTGTAGAAGGACGAGGGTGGATGACAGGCTGCCTCCAGGTAAGGAGACATCCCAGTGCAGTGCTGTGAGGACTGAGGACCAGATTTAGCCAAGGAAGCCATCAAGGAACAGAGCAGCTCCCATGGCCTTGTGGAGAAGGGAATTCCCAAGGGACAGTTGTCTGGAAGCCTTGGTTGAGTCCCATGGATGATTTTCTTCTGAGGAAGGGGGGGAAAAAAATTGAAGAAATAAGATAATTGGCTTGATTGGGCTTTGCTGAAAATCTAGAAAAAAGGGAAGAGAAAGTGCTGAGACAGCTCCTTTCTGTGTCTTTGAACTTTAGGCTTTGAAAAGAGGTGCGGAAAAGCTTAAGGAATTAACGAGGACTACTGGGAAATCACTCACCAGGAACTTTCAGTGCTCTCAACTCAGGAAAGAAATAGGAAGAAAATCCTTTATGTGTACGTATACATGCACCTATGCACTTAGATACATACGTAGCTGAGAGCATGATCCCTTCAGCCTGCCATTAATCTTCTTCCCCGATGTTTTCGTGCTGCATTAATGATGGGTGTTGTTGACAGGGTGGCTGGGAGGGTGAAAGCTGCATTTCCCCATGCCAGGGGCTGCAGAGGAGGCAGAGGCAGATACCTGGGGCTCCCTGGCAGCGCCTGTTGAGGATCAGCCTTGATCAGAATAGGTCTTCTCACAGGAAATATCAACTTTTTGTCAAAAAAGCCTGAAGATAAATATTCCTGGATGAAATCCTATAAAAAGCTCAGACTGACAAACTATTTTTTTTTTCAGGCACTTCTTTTTCTCCCAACAAGAATATATCTGTCAAGAGAAACAGATGTTCTCTATGAAAAATCTTCTTTAATTACAAGTCTGTCAAAAGGAGGTGAGATAGATTTTTATTTTTTCTTTTTTTTTTTTTTTTCCACTGAGCCCATTGAAGTGCATGCAATCGGCCAAGGTTGAAAGGCATGGCTCCTTCCAGAGTACAATAGCTAAATAATTTTCTCTGTTGAGCAGGTTGAGCAGGAGCAAAGCCACCAGCCAAAACACAGTGACAAACCCACAACCGGCAGCTGAAAGCTCCTTACCCAGAGCTCAGGACATCTGCACATCACACCAAATGTTGCATAATAAAAGAAGAATGTCTGAAATCTTACACTTCCAGGTGATTATTGAAAGCTTGCTTTTTTTTTTTTTTTCTCCTTCTCTCCATGCATCCAGTAAATACTTTAAAAGAAACATGTGGGCACTTGCTATCAGCCCTCAATTTGAGGCCAGCCTGCTCTCCAGGGGCCTTCAGACAATGGCAGTGGGGCATAAATGTTAGAGGAGGTTCCTCTGGTGTTGTGTTGGCACAATGTGTTATCCAGGAGAGCAAAGTTCTGCTGGAAATAGGAGCAGGACACAAGGTGGATATTTCTTTATTTCTGGGTTCCAGAAACTGGCTACTACGTGGTTGAATAGTTGGATGAAAATAATCAATAGTTCTTGTCCACTAATGAATGATTTTCCAGCAGTTGCCAGTGTAAATAGGTTTCATTAAAACAGCAAATCCTCCCAAACAAGAAAATTAATGAGAGCTTATGAAACCTATGAAATTGCATGGGTCTGACAGTGATGACAAATCTCAACTATTGTTATTTTTGGTAAACAGATTTTCTTTTCAATTTTCAGCCTTGTCACTTAAATAATAATAATACTGAGCAAATCCCACTGTTTCTTTCCCAGAAATCTTCACGTGTCTCAAGCCTCAAATCTGTGAATGGTTTCAGCCCCAGGCAGGAAATTGCCCCTTTCCTGAGCAGCTCCTGTGCTCTTCTTCAGCTCTTGTCATCCCTGCAGCTGCACCAATAAACTGGGAATTTCTGGAGTTTAATTTTCAGATGAGCCCGCTTCAAATCAATGGAGCTGCTGCTTTTTGTGACTCCTGGGAAGGAGATAGCATGGAAACAACCCACAGCCATGCCCAAATAAGAAAACTAAAAGAATTATTGGTTTTGGTCAACCTGGAACATGGCTCTTTTTGCCCTGACATTTTCCTAGAGGAAAGTGAAACTCTTCATCTACAGATTCAAAAGAATCCCAAAGGCACTCTGTCAGACATCTCCCAGTGTGCTCTCAGTTATTGCTGGATGGATCACAAGCTCTCCAGGGAGCAGTGAAGATGTTTTTGTGGGTTGCAAAACCCAGGTCAAAGCTTAAAGCTGAAAATACTCAAATTCCAGTGTCTGCTGTTTGCTTCCAGAGGAGCTATCTGCTCGTTGTCTTTGTCTTCATCGTCTTCATCTTTGTCTTTGCTTTCTGTTTGTCTTCCTTCTCTTTTTTTTTTTCTCTCTCTCCTCGTCCTTTTCTTCCTTCCTCCAGCTCATAAATCCCCACCTCCCCTCCTTTCCTTCTCCCCTTCATGCATTGCATGCTGAATGCAGGAGGCTCTCAAAGGCAAGAGCAGGCTTGGAACACTGTTACCCACAACAGCAGCGGTGAACAGAACCCAGGTTTTCAGCCAGGAAATTGCACTGGTAATCTCCTTTGAGGGAGGCACTCCCATTTTTCATGATGGTTGGCCCTTGTGGGATATGGATGAAAAGAGAAAGCATTTCATTTGCTCTTTGAAAACTGGAGCTATAGATCAAGGCCCCGCTCGTTCCCCTGAAGACTAGAAATGGGATTTCTGCAAGAATTGAGGCTATCCTCTCTGAAAACTAAAACAGTTATCTACACTTTCATCAAGAGGTCAGCAGTAGAGACTTTTCTCAAACAGCTGGATAAATCCAGGCTGTTTGTGCCTCTCCTTCCCGCTCTCCTCTGTTATTGCTTTTCATTACATGAAGGGTGAGGAACAAGCAAATACCTCTGCTTCCCAGCTTTGCCCTTGCCTGTTTGTACAAAGCAGCCAAATATTTCCTTCTGACTCTCAGGACCCAAGTACCTTTGGTGTCTATATTTTTTCCCTTGGATGCCATGGTCTGGATGCAGATGCCCAGGGCTGCTTAATCCTAGCAGATAGCATAGAAATGTTATTTTTCGGACACGGGCACTCCTCCATGGGTGCCACAGGACCAGGGCATCCTTTGTCACCTGGACCCAGTGCAATCTCCTGTGACACTGGGCAGGACGGTTTGCGGAGTCACGCTGCATCCTGCGTCCCTGAGCCTTGCAGCCATAAATCCTTTGCCTCTGCCATAGCCATGACTGAGCCTGCCTGGCTTAATTCATTCCTCCAGAGCCCACGCGGTTATGGCAGAGATGATTGCCTGCTCAAGGAGCAGCACTTGGGATGAAATCTTTTCCTCTTGAGAGTACTGCTGGAAAAACAAGGCAGCATCCATGAGCCGCCAGCATCCCTGTGTAGGCAGTATCTTTCCTTGGCCACTTCTTTGCCGTGCTCTCATCCTTCCTGACCTCTCCCTTTCTCTCCTTTAAATCCTTTTCTCTTTGCTTCATTTCTGCCTATGTCTCTTCCTATTCAGTTTCCTCGCTAGGCACTGGAGCTGATTGCAATGGTGATCCAGCAAATCACAGTAGTGATGCTCCTGATGGAATAACTCCTTGGGGTTTCGTGCAGTTGCTGTGCGGGCACTGAGTTTCAGACAGCAGAAAAGGAGCAGGAAAGTCTGATGTTTGGAAAGCTGCATCAACCGCAGTTTTCATCCCCACCTGGGGGAGATGGGTTTTGGAGCCCTAGCAGTCTGCCCACCCTATGGACATAGCCAAATACCCCTAGTTCCTTCCCAAGCACTGCTACCCAGAGAGGTGCTCTGTCCTGGCTAAGGGAGCTGAGCACAAATAACTCACAAATAATGGAAATCTCCACCATGTGCCCCCAGCATTGGCACAGTTCAGAGCCCTGCCTTGTTTGTCACCTGAAGCACTTGGAAAAATTACATGAATCCATCAAAGTAATGAATCTTCTCAGCAGTGGCAAATAGACAGAGACAGACAGGCACTCAGCTGAAACAAGTCATCTTTAAAAATTAATACAAAATAAACAGCTGGCCTTTCGCTCCGCTTCCAGGTGGTGGCTGCGCGGTTTGGGCGAGGGCTGGACAGAGACCAATGATGGTTCCCAATGGGAGCATATCCCTGGGGCAGGGAAGTGTCCTCTGCTGGGTCCCTGTCACCGCCACAGTGTCACCTCCATCTTCTGCACTGCTCCAGGAACGGTGGTGCAACACAGTGGTGGATGCTGCACGGTGTGAGTGAATGCTTAGGAAACAGCCAAATCTTTGTGAGTGCCAAAGCCTCATCACCTCCCTACAGCCTTGCCAGGCTCCTCCCAGCACTCTGGGCTCCCACATCGGTTTGTCAGTGTCTGATGGAGCTTGTACACTCCTCAGAGGACAGGTTGAGCTTGCTCTCCTGCTTGTCACAATATGGGCTCCATAAATAATTAACAGCGGTGCTGCTGCCGCCCCTGAGCTTTGATTTCATTACTGAGGAATAACATACCCACCTACACATGTGTGTATGTACATGTCTGCGTGTAATACACCTCCGTATGTACTTACATTGCTTAAACATCTGTTTCACCAGCCAGCCTCTCTGCTTTTCCTCTGGTCCCAAGGGCAGGTAAGCAGCAGAAGGCACTACTCTCGACCACGAGCATCCCACCAGTGCTCCAGCTGCTCCTGCCCTGAGGCTGGGCTATTTACGAGGTACCAATGGGGCTGCCCTTGCCCTGCAGAGTGTGGGGATGGAGAGCGGGGAGGAAGACGGATGGATCCTGAATTGAGGTGAATTTATGGGGCTCCGTGATTCCTGCTGCCGTACGTCTCCAAGAAATGACACCACCACTTCAGGAGCAGAGATTAATCTGAGTCGGCAGGAGAAGGACAAAACAAATCATCTACTGCGGGAATCTCATTTGATGCCTGTTAGTAAAAGCAGCGGGATGAATGGCTTTTGTAAAGACCGCGCCGAAACGGGCTTTTTTTTTTTTTCCCTCCCTCCCTTCTCTCCATTCGTCTGCAAATTGAGGTCTGTGAGGTGTGCGGTGGAGGCAGTCCCAGGGTCACTCACGGCCCAGGCACAGGACAAGGACCCCCAGCAGCTTTGTGCACTGTGAGACAGGACAGCAAAAAAGGGAAGGCAGAGCTCCTAGCGCATCATATCAAAGGGAAGAATCCTTCACTTTCTTTTTTTAAAAAGAGGGCATTAATTCTCATGTCCTGCAGAACACAGGGTGAGGGCAGCCTGCAGCCCCAGACAGAACATCCCAGCGATGCTCTGTATCCCAGCCAGCAGCAGCTGGATGCGGCCCAACGGCAGCAGTACCAGCACCAAGCACTCCTGCACGCCGCTGTGCATCCCAGCTCAATACAGAATCAATCCAATTGATCTTTTTTTTTAAGGTGCAGCCTCCGAATGGCTGAGACTGTGAGAGACACAGCTAAGCATGCACTTCTACAAAATAATTTGTCAGGCCCCGCTGTAGAAACCTAATGATGGCTGTAATTTATTGCTGACAGACGATATTTATCACCGCAGCATCCCCTCTTTCTCTTTCTCTGTCTCGTTAGGAATGGCATCAATAATGTTTATTGTAGCTTTTAATTTTTTATCGCTGATATTCTTACCTGCGCTGCTGATGGCTGCAGGAGATGGGAAAGGCTTCAGAGCAGATGGAGCCTCAGCTCTGTGCTGAAGGGTGAGCAACGAAGGCTGCAAATTCCTCCTGCGTGCCCATGCAGGGAGAATGCAGTGCCAGAGAGCACCCCGATAGCAGGGAAAAGCAAGCTGTTCCCATAAAGCTTATCCCCTCCCTACTGAGCCTCTGGACTTGTGCAAGGGATGCTCAGACCCAGCAAGGCAGTGGCATTGTTTTGGTTTTCCCCAGACTCTGCTCCCACGTGGGGCTGGAGAAGGAACATCATCCCTCCTCTGCTGCACCTGCATTGCTGTGATCATCACACCTGATGATGCCCACAAGCCCTGGGGTCACAGAGCTTGTCCCTGAAAACAACCAAAACCCCAACTCCAATCTTGAAATCTCCTTGTTTTCCCCTTGTTTTCCTACAGTTTTTCCTACCCTTGAGGAAATGTGCAGCACCAGGTTTTGATGCCCTATAAAAACAGCACTTCCCAAAGGGGATTTTTTCCCCC